GCCCGGGAGGTTCCTGGGGGCTGAGCCACGTCTGCGCCCACCTGGCTAGAGAGATTGCTCACAGGTGAGGTTCCCTCGGCCCGAGCAGTCCAGACCTGGTTCCTGGTGCCTCTGCCCCTGAGCATCCTCAGGAGTTGCTTCCTCCATGGACACCCACCTCTGAGCAGGCCTGATTATTTCCCAGGGTGGCTTCCTTCCCTGTTAGGGTGCAGTTTCCAGAGCACACACGAGGGCCTGAAATGAGACTTCTTCATTTTGAGGCCTTGAGTTTCTAGGTCATCACCCCCCATTGCTGGATTGGTGGAATCAGGTGTCTGGAAAGAGCTGACTTAGAGCACAGAGCCCCGGTGTGAATCGGCTCCTGAAATGATCTGTGGCTTCCCAGGTGTCCAGCAGGGTGTGGGAGCAAGATGAGTGCCGGCCACTTAAGAATTCAGGCTTGGCCACTCAGAGGCTGGGGACCTGGGCCAGGTTGCTTTTACCCTTAAGCTTTAGTGAGATCATCTGTGAAAGGGAGGTCACAGACAGTCTGTGCAGATGATCCTGTGAGCACCCACTGAGCTGCAGCTACATACAGTGAGGGCGATGGATGAACTGGCTTGAATGAGGCGCCGACAGAAAGCCCCAGGCAGAGCCTGCCACACAGCAGACACAAGTGGCACAGCTCCACACCTGAGCTCAAAGTGGACAGTTCAGCTGGGACCTCACAGGATTTGGGGGAACTGCTCTCTCAAGTGCAAGGAGTTTTGATGCAATCTTTAATCACTCTCCCTCGCAGAGCTCCCACTAGTGTTGAAACTGCACGTTTTCAGCCTCCAGAGGTGCTGGGAGCTCTCAGGCCAGGCAGCACTGCCTTCATCTGGCAGGGCTGGGTTCATCGGTCTTACCTGTGGCTTTGTTTGCCCTTAATAGAGTAAAAGTGTCTGTGAACCGGGCATGGTGGCTCACACCTGTAATCCCAGCACTTTGGGAGGCTGAGGCAGGCAGAACACTTGAGGTCAGGAGTTCGAGACCAGCTTGGCCAATATAGTTCTCTACTAAAAATACAAAAAATTAGCCAGGTATGGTGGCAGGCATCTGTAATCCCAGCTACTTGGGAGGTTGAGGCAGGAGACACATTTGAACCCCTGAGGTAGAGGTTGCAGTGAACCAAGATCTCACCACTGCACTCCAGCCTGGGCAACACAGCCAGACTCCGTCTCTGCCAGACTGAATCTATCAGTCAATCAGTCAATCAATAGTGTTTGTGGATTGGGAGTTCCCACCATCAGCCTCACTATAGCATGGACTCAGAGTGGGCCACAGCATCTGGGCTCCAGTGAGGAGAGTGCCCAGCTTGGCTGCACAGAGCCCATAAGGACCTGAACCTACCCTCCCTCTGACCATCCACACACCAGCCAGACCCACCTGCACAGGGAGCCCATCCACCCAGCTCCCACAGTTGCCTCCAACCCACTATCCAGACGGTGCGCCAACCTCACTACAGGCTTAGCCATGTGCAAAGTACCTGCTCATTTCCAAAACTGGAAAATAGAGGCATATACAGAAAACAGAAGTTGCTCAAACCACAGCGCCCCCTCTCCGCTCCACAAAAAGCCCACCATTCATATTTTGGCTGTTTTTAGCCTTTTATTTGCCTATGTCATTTGCACTCTGGAGATCATACTTGGATGTAATTTATGTATCTACCCAGAGCAAACATCAGTGGATAGAGTGGAGACTTCCACAAGTGCTTGACTTGTTGAAATGGGGCCAACTTACCTTTGCCACTTCCGGTGACTTTGCAGCTCACAAACTTGTGACACTCAGTTTCTTCATTCATTCATTCATTCAGAAAAGGCAAGTGGGGAGTAATGGTCAGACAGCTGACCTGTGTGCCTCCCAAGAACAGGTGGCGGCGGCCATCCCCATGAGTGAACATCTGAGACATGGCTGGGAAGAGTTCCTTACACAGGAGAGGCCAGCACTATTTGAAATGTGGTGAGGAGAAAAAGAAAAAAGTCGTTTGGATGTTTTGCCCAAGTAATACCTTGTAGAAGAGTCTTCTGAACATGCCCTTCAAAGTTTCCACCAACGTTTGGAATTTTAGTAACAACCTACACTTTTCTCCGTTTCAGATTGGCCACATTGATGGAGATCCTGGTCGCAAAGGCGCGTTCCCAGTGTCATTTGTGCACTTTATCGCTGACTGAATTGCTACTGAACAAAAGCATTAACAGTTATGTTCCTATTTCGTTATTGGTACCAAAACTCTTGCAGATAACCAGTTTCATGAACTGTTTGTATGGTAGCCCATGTTCTCTAATGCCGCTGCTCTGTTTTAAAAACTCAGAGGCAATTTTTACATATCAGTAATTGTTTTTATAATTTATCATTTTCATGAAACACTGCTATGCATTTATTAGGAAAAACTGAATTTCCCAACAGGTGAACTGAAAAGTTATTTGAACTATTATACATAATTAAGATCCTGCCTCTACAGAATTAGCTAAACCTAAAAATGTTTGCATTGTGTGTATTGGAAATAAATTCTTCCTGCGTTCCTTGGCCTGATTCTGGAGTTGGTGACCTTTAGCACAGTTACTTTAGGAGTCAGCTGCTGCTTCAGAAGTCCATAGCCCAGCCCTGGACTTTCTCGATAAAATGCCATCAGTTCACCTTTAAAGACACATATTCCTTTGAAATCCACCCACTGTTTGTTTAAAAAGCAACTTGGAAATTTACACATTAGCATTGTGCTTTCTAGCCCTGATTTGTGAGATTGCGGCTATCATTATACTCTGCATGTGTGTATAACCTGTTGTGAACAGTCATACTTAACAAAACTACTGACGGTTTATGACAACGTAGGGTAACTACAGTTCATTCCGTTCCAGGTTATATAAAACTGCATTTCCTGAATTTGGTTAAAAACTAAGGATGATGGATTGCAAAACAGTTCTTTTAAATTAGTTGATATGCTTTAGGTGTTTTGGAATTTGCTTTCTTGAACTTCCTGAATCACACAGAAAGCAACTGTGTACCCAACAGAATTCTGTGGCACAGACCACAATAAATTAACACATCACTTGCTGTTTCCTATTGAGTGTACCACTGCCTTCCCTTCTTCTAGCCCATGAGAATGTTTACTCAGTTTAGTGTCCTGTATTTATATAATATTCCAACAGGAATGGTAGTCACACTGTCTTGAAATTTAATCTGTCCATCTGTTTATAATCAAGAACATATCAGAAATCTATAGATCGCAGATAATAAAATACTCCCAAACATCCCAGTTTTTACTATTTAAGGCCATCATATCATTCTTAAGCTAAATGGGGCAGTAGTGGGGGGGGGGATTAGGTTGTATACTATAAAATCAAAACTCATTAGTTTAATGAACTTGACGGTCATACCTCTGTTTAGTAATTGTGAAGGTAAGATTCAGGGTAGGAATATTGGAAATTTTGGCACTCTGAGAATAAATAGGCATATGATACCCACTTGGACTCTGAACAAAAGGAGAGGAATAAATTTGAGTATAGGCTTGGAGAGTGAGGCAGCAATGCTGTTACTGCATTCGTTTCGATGGTACATTTGATTGAAGCAGCCTGTCTTTATTATGCAAGACTCTTTACGTGTAGAGGGTTTTTGTTTTGTTTTGTTTTGGCATTGTACTTTTTGTTGTTGTTATAAAGGAACACAGAACAAACTGGAATGTTTTATGATGTTGTATAGCAATCGCTTTTTGCCTTTCAAAGTTCCAGGCAAAAATGTGTTAGATCTGTAATTAAAGTCTTTTTTTTTTTTTAAGCACTACATCTGTTTTCACTAATTGTTCATTTCTGTTGTTTGAACCCTTAAGTTTTTCATAGATTTAAGAAACAGATGTATTTTGCACAGTGCACTTATGTCTATTTTAACAATCCTCCTACATCTGTATTTATAGTCAGCCTTTTGACCGCCTGGTGCCGGCTGTATAAAGAATCAAGTTGATTCACATCAACATTTGAACTCTAGTCCCAAATTAATCTATCAGGTTCACTGGTACATAAATATCTAGGAAATATTTTTCCAGTCTACAATCTGGTGCTATTGTGCAGTAACTAATAGTACTCTTACCAGAGGAGAAATTATATTAATGGCCCTGCTAATAGCCTCTTAGTTATTTGCTCTTTGCAAATTAAAAAAAAAAAAAAAAGCAACTGAGAGAAAGGAAAGCATTGTAGATATCTATTTATATTTAAAGTTTACGTTTCATGAACTTCAGCAGCAGGATTCTGGCATTTTGCATGCCATGCTCCATCAAATCTAGGAATGATGACTCAGAAGTATGCGCCCAGACTAATAGTTCCTGTGTGATCTGTTAAGGGGTGGATGCTGTTTTGAGATGTATGATAATCAGTTCATTCACCTGATTACTTTGGTCTGGCTGCAGCACAACTTGTATATATTGTATAACCAAAATTATTTTCATTGTCCTTAATGCAGTGATTTATAATTAGAGCATGTTTAATAAGTTTACTCTTGTTAACTAGTCATTTGACTGGAAAAAAATAAAATCCTTTTAAATGGACATGGTTTTATTTTTAATGTTTTTAATCTTTAAAGTTTTGTATATTGACAGTCCTTTAAAAAAAAAAAGGTACCGTATCACTGTACGTGTGATCCTTTGCATGCTACTCAAGCATGAGCAGTATCTTTTAAGGTTAACTCTAAGAGAAGCATTGTGGTTTGCCAGCATGTTACCTTGACTGGGACACTTCCGAAAACCTACTTTATGTGTCTTACGTTGGCAATGTCACTGTTCCAAACCAGCATGAATCCAGGTCCCCAGTCCACACCTCTGCCAGACAGAGGTCCATGCCAGTGATACCACATCACTGGGAAGCCACTACTGAACACGCCATCAGTCTTCCTCGGGCCCTCCGTGGACCTCTGTGACACCTAGGCTTCTGTGACACTTAGGTTAAGCTTACTTGAATTAGAAAAAGACAAATGAGGCTTTTTATCCCAGAAAGTATGACTACATTGAGAGGAGTTAACTCACTGTGTAATGTGACACATTTTAATAAACAAATGATCAGCATTTTACACAATGCATTTTCTTCAGAAAATCCAGAGCAAGGGATGATGACTTCGTTATTTCCGTAACAGTTCAGTATTGCAGATTGAAAACAACTGAACTTTCAGATGAAGTTGACTTCTACTTGATGGCAGGATTCAAGGTTTCTCAGATGTTAATACAGAGTCAAAAGCAGTGGATAAAACCTTGCAAATGGCTTGTGCTTGTTCCTACATTACATGAAAAGATATAGTAAGAGTAGCATTCATCGATCTTTTCCTGAACTTAATTTGGCTAGCAGAGGCTTACACCTGACCCTCTTAGGACCTCTCGTAAGCCTATAATCAACACTTCTGTAAAGTCAACAACACATGCCTGCCTGGCTCAGTGGAACCCATCCTGTGAGCCTCCCTGCACGTGGGCCCTTTCTGCCCTCCTTGAGAAGAGCAAAGACAGCTACTGCAGCCTGAGAAGGCTGATCACACAGTCTAGGAGGGCAACAACATTCAGAAATGGAGGGAACCTTTAGTCCTTAGAGGATACACTTTTCCTCAGCTGCTTTATTTGCCTTAAACCTTTAGATCCAGGCACGAGTGCTGCCACTGGCCCTAACAGAAATAGTTCACAAACCTGCACTACGTCTGGCCAGCTGGCTGACCTCAGCTCCACGAAACTATCCCTAGGCCAGATACTCCATCTAGAATGGATTGTATTTCTCCAGCCCTCAAAAACAGTCCCTGGGTTTTGCAACTTGATGAAACCAAAGTTTCAGGGTAACAGAGTCTCACCAGGCTGTTGCACTGATAAACCCACAGGCTGTATTCTTCATTGCTTGCATCTGTGGTCTTCAGAGCCAGTAAGCTTTTTCCTGCCCCTAGACCATCATCATAACACACCATCCGGATTATTAAGTAGAGAGCATGCCTGTGCAAAACATCCTGCAGACGTCAGGAAAGATTCCGACAGATCAGAACTCTTAAATGTCTATTAGTCCTATGACACACCCTCCCAGACAGAGTGAGGCTTTAAACAGGTTTCCCACCCCAAGGATGTTCCTGTATGCTGCTGTTGGGCCATCTCCCTTCAGGATCATGCCTTCCTACTTAAATCCCACAAGACAGGAGTGGAGGGGTCTAAACTGACTATCCCAGTGTCTGTGCCCACCTTCCGAGCTGACATCTGCTCTTAACTGACCTTAATTGAAAATGCATTTGGAGCCATCATTTTTGGAGCTGGGGACGGGGCTGGTTGCATGTGCCCTTCCAACACAGGAGAGAAAGGAAGTCCCTACTCACCCTAAGAAATTGGTCAGGTTTAAGACCACCAGGAATGTTTACAAACCAATCACTGCAAACAGGAGTAGCCTTAATTATAAGGGGGCTCTTAATGGCCTGAAATCCCTATTATCCAAAATACATTTTTTCTTAATAAATCATATTACTTACATATTGATCTGAAGTTGATACTTTTATGCCATACTTGGAAACTCCCATAATAAACTCTTCCTCCGGAGGAACAAAAGGCAACTTTCCATCTTGCTTTAAAGTAAAAATAAATTACATGATAAAGATTAAAATTATGTTATAGTCTTAAGTCTGACTAGTCACTTTTAGTATCTAGCCATCACAAGCCCAAACCCTTTAAAGAATGTGGGGTACCAGTCTTCCCAAGAGGAAGAAATCATCACCCAAGGAGGAAACAGTTAATGACCCCGAAGAGGCAGGCAACATAAGCGTCTCCAAGAAAAAGGAAATTCTCCCAAGAGGAGCCAGTCAGCAGTGGACCTGAAGAGGCTGCTGGCAGTAACAGCAGCTCCGAGAAGAAGAAAACGTTCCATAAAGCAGCCCAGGAAGATTAGAATGCAAATGGACATTCTCTGGGAGGCGGGGCGTACCACGGCTCAAGGTGACATTTCCCACCCTGTGTCCTGTTCCCCACTAAAAACAAATTCACACATACAAAAAAAAGAATCTGGGGTACACACATTAGCCAGGAAAGAGTTTCTCTCCACAGAGGCAGAAGAAACATTTCCCCCCATTTTAAAAAATATTTTTAATTTTTAGAAAATTATTTTTGGGACAACATCACTCTATCACCCAGGCTGTAGTACAGTGGCATGATCTCAGCTCATTGCAATGTCTGCCTCCTGGGTTCAAGCACATCCGGCTAGTTTTTGTATTTTCAGTAGAGATGGAGTTTCACCACGTTGGCCACGCTGGTCTTGAACTCCTGACCTCAAGTGATCCACCCACCACTGCCTCCCAAAGTGCTAGGATTACAGGCATACGCCACTATGCCCAGCCAAGTTCTCTCTTAAATGGCAATTTAGATTACTGATGTCCTTCAGATAGGTATCTTCCTTTACTTTCATAAAGACATGACACTTCATTTCTGGTTTTTTTTGGGGGGGACAGTCTCACTTCTGTCACCCAGGCTGGAGTGCAGTGGTACAATGATGGTTCACTGCAACCTTGACCTCCTGGGCTCAAGGAATCCCCCGCCTCAGCCTTCTGAGTATGTGAGACTACCTGTGCGCAACACCACACCCAGTTGATTTTTTAAAATGTTTTGTAGAGAGGGAGGTCTTGCCCAAGCTGGTTTTTCATTTTGTTTTGTTTTGTTTGAGACAGAGTCTCCCTGCATCACCCAGGGCTGGAGTGCAGCGGCGCAGCCTTAGCCTCCCAGGTAGCTGGGTCTATAGGCGCATGCCACCACACCCAGCTAATTTTTGTATTTTTAGTAGAGACGGGGTTTCACCATGTTGGCCAGGCTGGTCTTGATCTCCTGGCCTCAAGTGATCTGCCCACCTCGGCCTCGCAAAGTGCTGGGATTACAGGCATGAGCCACTGTGCTCAGCAATTTTAAAAATCTTTTGGAGAAACACGGTCTCACTGTGTTTCCCAGGCTGGTTTCAAACTCCTGGGTTCCAGTGATATCCCTCCCCTGCAGCTCTGCCTCCCAAAGTCTTGGGATTACAGGCGTGATCCACCAGGCCCTGCCACGTTCTATTTCATGTTCTTGTTTTCCATGGCTTAAGAGTTTACACACTCTTAAGATTAACTAATACTCTGAACAGATGACAGAATCATTCTATTGCAGTAATATCCCTCTGTTAATGAGCATATAAAAAAGTAATTTCATTTTCTAGAAACTCCAGAAGCAATTTACTTTTTTTTCTTATTACTGAATTAACTAAGTCTCTTGGCTCATCTACTTGCACCATTGGCAAGGGTACAGATTTTATAACATTTCATGCTTGTATACCTTATACTTTTGATTTATCTTAATGTTCATTCTTAATTTTCCTTCATGATGATTACTTTTTATCAAGAAGATAAAAAGTAATCTTTTTGAAACGCACCTCACCTCAATTCTTGTTGGAAACCTTGAATGAATAAACATACATGTTTGGTCGACATCATTATGAATTAGATTATTCAGACACAGAACTGGTCTGATAGTGGTATGTAAGGTTTAGCCAGATTATTTTAAAAGAACCTATGGAATATAACCAATCACCGCAATCAGCTCTTCGTTTAAATGGGATCGATCAGCCCCATAAAAAAGTATTAATAGGCCGGGCACGGTGGCTCATGCCTGTAATCCCAGCACTTTTGGGAAGCTGAGGGGGGTGGATCATTTGAGGTCAGGAGTTTGCAACCAGCCTGGACAACCTGCTGACACCCTGTCTCTACTAAAATACAAAAAAATTAGCTGGGCGTGGCAGCGTGTGCGTGTAGTCCCAGCTACTCAGGAGGCTGAGGCAGGAGAACTGCTTGAACCTGGGAGGCAGAGGTTGCAGTGAGCCAAGATCGCACCACTGCACTCCAGCCTGGACGACAGAGTGAGACGCCATCCCAAAAAAAAAAAAAATTAATAAAAAGTACTGTGGGCTGGGCGTGGTGGCTCACACCTGTAATCCCAGCACTTTAGGAGGCTGAGGCGTGTGGATCACCTGAGGTCAGGAGTTCAAAACCAGCCTGACCCACATGGAGAAACCCTGTCTCTACTAAAAATACAAAATTAGCCAGGCATGGTGGCGCATGCCTGTAATCCCAGCTACTCAGGAGGCTGAGGCAGGAGAATCGCTTGAACCCGGGAGGCAGAGGTTGCTGTGAGCCAAGATCGCGCCATTGCACTCCAGCCTGAGCAACAAGAGCAAATCTCCATCTCAAAAAAAAAAAAAAAAAAAAAAAAAAAGTACTGTGTTTGAAGGAAGGAACAGCGCCGGTGCTCCTCTGCCGCTCAGAGCTCACACACACCTGCAGTGGTGATGGCAGGGGAGGGTTCCAGTTCAGAGCAAGGGGAGCGGCACCCAGGGGACCCGAAGAGTGGGCGGGCACCTTGCCCCCAAAGCCACGAGTTGGCTCCCCAGATTCTCATAACCAGAGTTACGGATTTTTTTTTTTTTTTTTTTTTTACCTGAGCAACATCTATATAATTTATCAGGTCCAAGGGTCCTTCAAGACCTTTTCCCTCAGAGAGTTTCAGTTTCTCAATGGCACCAACATATTTTATTCGAAATTCTGCACAGGTATCTGAATTACTGTTGCTTTGTCCTAAAGATGAAAGAAAAGTTATAAGACTTCAGAAGACATACTCGCATTACAGGGTCCTCAGTCCCTTCCCAATAAAAACCAGACTGTCATTAGAACACAACCACTAACTACGAATTTTATAATGCAAAATATTTTTATGTAAGGGGGTAGAACTTAAAATTTCACTAACCTTTTCCTCAGTGACTCATGGTATACTATATTATTCAAAGGTCTCAATAATAGGAATAAACATTAATCTTCACTTCAAAACAAACAGTAAAGAAAAGGTCACTACATAACGATTACCTTTATGATGAATGATAATTATTTTTGGTTCTTTCTCCCTCTTCACCATTTTTTCCCCTGTAGAGACAAGGTTTCACTTCCTTGCCCAGGCTGGTCTTGAACTCTTGAGCTCAAGTGATCCTCCCACCTCAGCCCCTGGAATTACAGGCATGGGCCACTGCGCCTGGCCTACCATGTTAGCTTTCTTTCCTCATTCAGGAAACCTACTCTTCCTCTACCATTCAATCAGAAAAGACCACAGGGTTTTTCTTTTTAATGTCGATGGAACACCAGGCAGGAAGTCCCTTAACATGACAGCAATGGTTGAAGAACTGTGTGTGTGCCACTAAATCTAGCCAATATAAAAATTACTACAAACGACGTATCTCAACCAGATTAAGGAACTACTATATGATTACTTTTAAGTTATGTAATAAAAAGATGCTCACATCTTTGATAATTGTAAAAGCACCTGGCAGTAAAGGCAATGGACTTAATGCTACAGCATTCTCGGCTACAGATTCCCTAGTACAGGGTCCTGAATGGAGAAAGAGGAATTCAGACAACAATATGAATATATTTCCAGTTAGTCACCAGCTACTTAGGGAGCTTGGGTTAGATTTCTTTTTTTTTTTTTTTTTTGAGATGGATTCTCGCACCATTGTCCAGGTTGGAGTGCAGTGGTGCGATTCTCCACTCACTGCAACCTCTGCCTCCAGGTTCAAGCGATTCTCCTGCCTCAGCCTCCTGAGTAGCTGGGATTACAAGTGTAATCACCACGCCCAGCTAATTTTTTGTATTTTGGGTAGAGATGGTTTCACCATGTTGGCCAGGCTGGTCTGGAACTCCTGACCTCAGGTGATGCACCCACCTCAGCCTTCCAGAGTGCTGGGATTACAGGTGTGCGCCACCACGCCTGGCCTATTTCTAAGGATCTACTAATTTTAGGCAACTGCATAAATATCTGCAAGGGTCTGGGACAGATGCTCCCCTTAATTATTTGTGTTCGTGGTGGTCATGAGCTGGTGAATCTCTGGGTTCCCTGGGGTAAATGAATGTCTCCTTAGCCCTTTAATCATCAAGACATTTGTCCTATTCCCCATAAACATAAGTCCAACAGAATTCAACTTCTGCCACCCCATTTCTTTTTTAATTTTTGTGGGTACATAGTAGGTATATGTATTTATTGCCACCCCAATGCTTAAAAAACTATTTTGAAACTTCCAGTTTGCCCATGTGCCCGTGCCAATTTCCAAAGGCTATGTGGTTTTCACCAAGCGCACCATAACCTCAACCCACGTCCCACCAAATCTTGGTCCACTTCTACACTCTCGTCAAAAGTGGCAAAGGAGAGGAAGAAAGCCACAAATACTGAAGAACTCATTGTGCTACCCTAGGAAAACTACATGAACATAAATGAAAAGCAACAGACAATAAACGATCTAACCCTTTTGCGTACCTGAGCTTTTGGTGGAATCTGTGTCGAGGCTGGCCACAGTGCTGGATCGTGAAAGACCCCCAAGGCTAGAATCTACAGACTGAGAAATAGAAAAACAAGTAAACAAAAAACCTACACAGAAGCAGCCGTGTCTTCTCTGAATTCCTCTAAGCCATTCAAATTATTTATCAGAGTTGAGCTGACACATACGAAATCATATCAATTATTCAGGCATATCATCTGTGACAGATTTTTCTTAAGGCAAGCTCTGTAACAAACTTAAAAAATCACATAACCTCAACTGTTCCTTTGTCCCATGACATAACACTGGATAAATGCGGTGGCAATATTCTTCGTCTAAATCGAAGCCATTACCACCGCCTCCTTACAGGATGCCTTCTATGAATATTCTTGTGAACATCTATGCCTTGCTTTCACATTAGTTCCACTGAACCCAAAACAAACCCTGTGCAGAAAGCCAGGCAAGGACCATTATCCCTGCTTAATAAAAGAGACTGAGATGCGTAGTGACTTCGCCAAGGTCACATCCAGTAAATGTCTCCGATCTCAAAACTAGCTCTCTCATCCTAGGTCTCTGGTCCAGGGCTTCTGCAATTATTCTGACTAGTATCTGGCCTGCAGCAGGAACTCAGAGGCTCTCTGGAAGGGCAGAGTAGACTATTATGTGAACTGTCACAAAAAAACAAAAACCGTGTGACTCAGGTCCCATGAGACCTCACCTCAAAATCTCTCCAGAACCTGAGGTTGTGACCCACCTTAGCCCACCTAATCTGTTCCAAACCCCATCTCCCTACCTTGCTCTTAGTACTGATTTCACTACTTTGGGAACTGCTACTACTGTGTCGTTTTTTGCCTTTGCGAAACATTTTTCACCACCATTGCTTGATCCAGAGAAGATCCCCTGGAAAAACAAATATTGGTTACAGTTACATCGGGAAAGGCAACTTTTTTTTTGAGAGATAGAGTCTGCTCTTACCCAAGCTGAAGTGCAGTGGCACAAGCATGGCTTTCTGCAGTCTTGACCTCCTGGGATCAAGTGATCCTCCCACCTCCGCCTCCCTGAGGGGCTTGGACTACAGGCATGTGCCACCACACCCAGCTAATTTCATTTTTTGGAGAGACGGGATCTTGCCATGTTGGCCAGGCTGGTCTCAAACTCCTGCTCTCAGGTGATCCTCCCGCCTTGGCTTCTCAAAGTGCTGGGATTACAGGTGTGAGCCACCGCGCCCAGACAGGAAAAGCAACTTTGATATTGGTTACGTCAGGAATCCAACATTAAATCACTTTATGCATAACAGAAATAAAAATCATTTATTCCTTCCAGTTCCATGGGTGTGTTCCTTTTCTATAAAACATAAAACTTCTCCCTTGTATACTATTCCTTTTCATTCTTTCCTTTTCATTCTTTTTCCTAATTACAAAAAGTTAACCCAATAAGTAAAAAACGCAGAAAGCTTCCTGTCCTATATAGCGGTGTGAAAAGCACTTTTCTCAAAAGTATCAGACATGTCACCTAGTTCTCAAAATTTCAAGTGTCTTACTTCTCTTGAATTGATTCAAGATTTTAGCAAAATATGCTGTGATACATTGGATGTATCAGCCAAGATACTGAGATCAGTAACTGCCTCAGCTTCACATTCTGTACTGTGAATGTGAGTATAGGGAGGCAGGGAGAAGACAGACACATCTCTCAGAAATGTGCATTTTTCTGGAAGTCTTGAAATACCTTTAAGTAAAAGCTGACATAAAGACATTCCCAGAAGCTGGCACTTCACCGCCCCACTGTACTAATGGCAGGTAAGGAGACGACCTTGCTTCCCAGAGTCTGTGTTATATATTTCTTTTTTTGCAATTAATAATTAATGCCTTGGAAACCTAAGAGTCATCCTTGCCAATTGTATAGGAGAGCATATATTATACTTGGCAAATTAACCTCCATGGAGCTACACGCCTCACAATAACCTTGTGACGTATTCATTTGCTCTGGCGATGCTTTTTAAGGACACACCATCCGCCCCACACTCTGCAGGGCTCTAAGCTCTCCCTCCAGGGGCTCACAGAGGTAGGTTATAATTTGCCTTTTAGAGTTGAGGGAACTGTGACTTGAGCATTTATGAGTAAGATAACCTGACCAATTTTTACCAAAAACTGTATTCTCCAGAGAGAGCAAGAAAATCTGCTTACTATAGAATTGAACACTATTTGACTGTCTTCAAAGGTCCCACATACAGCGGTCTACACAGAGAGATTCCTGTCATTCTGACCTGGACGATGCTTTTCAGAGGAACAATGTACCTGACGAAGGAAAAAGAACAAGTGACTCATGCGGCAGTCAATGACAGCCCCTGCAGCAACCCAAAGATGCTCTGTATTTGGAGACCCCACGCTATATCCACTTACTGGGTGGTGACCTTAGGCCACTTGCCCAAGTCTGACCCCTGAGCCCAAGCTTTTTAATCAGCCTCATCATCCCATTTATTTCTATATTTTTGCTTTATTTGTGGGGTAGCAGGAAAATCTCATTTATTCATTCATTCCTAGCCAGTGAGCACCTACCAGATGTCAAGGACGCATCAGTGAACCAAACAAAGCCCCTGACCTCAGGGAGCCTGTTCTTAGCCGGAGTAGACAGCCAACAAGAAAAACAAACATAACATTTATTATTAGGAAATAGCTGCTATGAGGAAAACTAACTCAAGTTAAGAAGATACAGACTGCTAGAAGAAAAGGGTGGGTATTTCAGAAAGATGCCCTAGATCTTTTTCTGAATGAAGTGAGGGCAGCCATAAATAGCCTGGAGGCAGGCAATGCTGTGCAGGTAGAGAGGAGGCCCAAGGGAACAGTCAAGGCCATCTGGCTAGGGTGGCAGCAAGAGGACTGCAATGGACCAGGACGAAGAGCCACAGGAGGCCAGGCAGGCCGTGATAACAGTGGACTTTTTGGGTTTAACAGGAAGACTCTGAAGACTTTTTATTTTTTGCTTATCTGCTGTGATCTTCTGGAATGGAATAGAGGCTTTTTTTTTTTTTTT